CCATGACATCTGCACCAAACACTCTCAGAAAATATACAACTGAACCAGAAGTGGCATCTTTCTGAGAGCCATTTGTTGTCGTACAATATCAGCAACACTCTAAAATATCACGGAAAGCCTTCCCAGAAGAATGTAGACTGTTATAGCCACAAAGCAGGGGGAAGGAGAGCTTAGTGGCAATATGTCTATGAATTTGGAATGGGATGTCTAAAAATCATGTCTAGGTATTATGGCCAGGTGTCCACAAACCTTTAGCTATATAGTGTATGCGCTAGAAATATACACTATATTGCCCAAAGTATTGGGACACCCTTCCAAATCATTGGATTCAGGTGTTCCAAACACCTTCATGGCCACAGGTGTATAAAATCAAGCACCTAGGCATGCAGACTGCTTCTACAAACATTTGTGAAAGAATGGGTCGCTCTCAGGAGCTCAGTGAATTCAAGTGTGGTACCGTGATAGGTTGCCACCTGTGCAATAAGTCCATCTGTGAAATTTCCTTGCTACTAAATATTCCACGGTCAACTGTTAGTGGTATTATAACAAAGTGGAAGCAAATGGGAACAACAGTAACTCAGCCACAAAATGGTAGGCCATGTAAAATGACAGAGAGGGGTCAGCGCATGCTGAAGTGCTCAGTGCGCAGAAGTTCCCAACAGTCTGCAGAGTCAATAGCTAAAGACCTACAAACTTCATGTGGCCTTCAGATTAGCACAACAACAGTATGTAGAGAGCTTCATGGAATGGGTTTACATGGCCGAGCAGCTGCATCGAAGCCTTATATCACAAAGTGCAATGTAAAGTGTCGGATGAAGTGGTGTAAAGCAGGCCACCACTGGACTCTAGAGCATGCTTCTGTCTAGCAATCCGATGGCATGTCAGGGTTTGATGGTTGCCAGGAGAACAGTACTTGCCTGTTTGGAGAAGGGGGGATTATGGCGTGGGGTTGCTCTTCAGGGGTTAGGCTTGGCCTCTTAGTTCCAGTGAAGGGAACTCTTAAAGCATCAGCATACCAAGACATTTTGGACAATTTCATGCTCTCTGCTTTGTGGGAACAGTTTGGGGATGGCCCCTTCCTGTTCCAACATAACTGAACACCAGTGCACAAAACAAGGTCCATAAAGACATGGATGAGCGAGTTTGGGGTGGAGGAACTTGACTGGCCTGCACAGAGTTCTGACCTCAACCCAATAGAACACCTCTGGGATGAATTAGAGCGGAGACTGTGAGCCAGGCCTTCTTGTCCAACATCAGTGCCTGACCTTACAAATGCGCTTCTGGAAGAATGGTCAAACATTCCCATAGACACACTCCTAAACCTTGTGGACAGCCTTTCCAGAAGAGTTGAAGCTGTTATAGATGCAAAGGGTGGGCCAACTCAATATTGAACCCTATGGAGTAAGACTAGCATGCCTTTAAAGTTCATGTGTGTGTAAAGGCAGGCGTCCCAATACTTTTGGCAATATAGTGTATATCTGTTGATCTGTCAAAAATGCACTCAGCTCCTATTTTTTCTGTTTATGACCTGACAGCACACAGCAGTTTGCGAACTGATATCACAAAAATGGTGCCACCCTTGCCCAGTAACTTGTTTTTAACTACTGAATACCTTCCCCTCCTCCTCTGTGGTTCTGCAGTTCATAATAGGAACTTAGAGGGCAAATTAGGTTCCTTGATGCAAGATAGGAAGTGTGTAAGACAAAGGGCAGCTCTGAATTTTGTACATGCTCAACAGGTATTTTTTTGCATATATTGAACAGACATAAACAGATATAAAACACTTTATATACAATTTAATTTCTGAAGCCTCCACTCCACTCTGTATGCCTTCTTGGAGTCAAGAGAGAGGCAAATGATCTTACAAAGTCCCAATGACTTTATCCCTGCCTGTATATTTCAATGCTGGATGGATGAGCAGTCAATTGCCAGGGCTATCCCATGGGAGGAAGGTGAAAGAGTAATGTTACCAATACTTGTAAGTCCTCGGTCATTTTGTTTCCCTCCTAGCATCAAAGCAGAGCAATGAAGGGAAGAATGAAGGGGAGGTACATATAGGTAACTGGAAGGGGTAGCAGTTAAGTAAACCTGGTTCACTACAATGCACAGTATATTCCAAATAATAGGTCCATTTAACTTCCACAGCCCCCAGCTGCACACATATACCTTTCTTATGTTCTCCCACCACTCATGTTTGTCTGCTGGTAGTGAAGAGAGCAAACCCTGTAAGCTTACATAGGCCTGAGGACTCTCCTTCACCCCCTAATAACTGTGCTGAATGTCTAAACAGCCACCAAGTACCAGTGCTGGAAGGGGATTGAGTTGCATGTGCCCCAGACCCAGAAGTGCCAGGTATTTCTTTACCGGTCATTAAACCAACTTCTGTTGAACAGACAACCATACATGCAGAGCGAAATTTGTATGGTTCCTGCTGAAATGACAATTTTTCGCCCATGTATATCAGCCTTTAGATCTCCCTGTTATTAGGCTGTAGGCACAAAAGTGCCTGGACACCCTTACATACTATGAAATGTGTTTTTTTTTAGGAAAAATTCAAAACAAAAGGTACATTTATTCAAAGAAATACTTAGGCACAAGCATTTCTAAACATTCCCTATAACGTTGCAAATCTTCACTTCAGGTTCATTTTAAAAACCAACCTATAATCATCTGATAAGCGGCACTATTGTACTGGTACGACCATGCCACAAATAATGTGTAACACTTCTGTATTTGAATAATCAGTCATAGCTATCAGTTGAAGAGTATAAAAACCCAATATTTCTTAGTTCTGCACAGAGTCCTGACCTCAACCCAATGGAACACCTTTGGATTTAATTAGAGTGGAGACTGCTAGCCAGGCCTTCTGACATCCGACATCAGTGCCTGACCTCACAAATGAGCTTCTAGAAGAATGATCAAACTTTCCCATAGACACACTCCTATACCTTGTGGACAGCCTTCCCAGAAGAGCTGAAGCTTTTATAGCTGCAGAGGGTGGGCCAACTCAATATTGAACCCTATGGAGTAAGACTGGGATGCCATTAAAGTTCGTGTGTGTAAAGGCAGGTGTCCTAATACTTTTAGCAATATAGTGTATATGTCATATGTGTAAATATACTGTATATGGTTCTGGCTCTCTGCTTCCTGCTTACCACTATTACTTGCAAACATAGAAGTCCAGCTTCTGTTTACAAGTGATAGCTTATCTTACAGCAGCTCCCACAGATTGGATCCCCTGAGCAGTTCCCACTGAGTGCAGGACATAGACAAGGAAGGTGCAGTGCAGTCATGGAAAGTAGGGGGCACGTGGTAGGCTGCACCCTCTGTGATCTCCTTTTTTTCCCTGGTGCCCGGATGTTGATTCCCATGCTGGACCTGGATGGTCTCCCTGCAAGTGAGAGAGGCAGAGCATCTCTGTGTGTAATGCAACCCTAAACTCTGTACTTACTCTGTGTCTAGCACACCCCTGAACTCTCCGCTCTGTGTGTAGAGCACCCCTGAACTCTGCAATCTGTATGTAATGTACCCCTGAATTCTGCACTCTATGTGTAGTGCCCCCTATGTGTAGTTCCCCCTTGAACTCTGCACTCTGTATGTTGCGTACCCCTAAACTCTGCATTCTGTATGTAGCACATGCCTGAACTCTGCACTCTATGTGTAAGGCACCCCTGAACTCTGCAATCTGTATGTAATGTACCCCTGAATTCTTCACTCTGTGTGTAGTGCCCCCTATGTGTAGTGCCCCCTTGAACTCTGCACTCTGTATATAGTGTACCCCTAAACACTGCACTCTGTATGTAACACGTCTGAACTCTGCACTCTATGTGTAAGGCACCCCTGAACGTTGCACTCTGTATGTAGCGCACTCCTGAACTCTGCATTCTGTGTGTAACGCACCACTGAACTCTACACTCTGTGTGTAATGCACCCCTGAATTCTGCACTCTAGACATAATACACTCATGGTATTTAATGCCTTCCCACTGTTAGTGAAATTTGGCCACACCTACTATTTGATACTGTTTGGGGGGGAGGACATGATTGGGTTACTACTTTATACACCTGTGTGAGAGCCCTGTTCTATGGACACAGCCAATGCTCTTAAGCCCTATTGACATTAAAGTGATGCTCCAGGTCACGTTTTTAGTTTTTTTGTTTTTTTTTGTGCATTTTGCAGCTCACATTTGGAGCAGCACAATTCATTTGAAAGGGCCTCCCTCTGCTCCAAAAAGCTAAAGAAGCTGCTAAAGAAGCGCATGTACCTTTTCAGCAATTAACTTTTTTTTTAAATGTGCGTCTTGTGCGATCGACGATTCTGACGCGCAACAATTGTAAAATCACACCTCATTTCGGTGCCATTCAAAATGTGTTCTCAGTATTTGTACATCCCTTCTCTTCTCCTTAACAGAAGTGATCTACAATTCTTCATAAAATGGCACTCGGAGGAGAACTGTTTACTTTGAGAATGCCAGCGAACTTAGCAGCGGGTATTTACCGCTGCTTAATGAACATACACCTATTTCATGTATGAGGTCCAATGAAATGGGTGAGTGTGTGTCCAAAAAGGGTGAGGGTGTACACAGGCACTTTAATCAATTGGGTTCCTATTTGAGGCTTCAGCACTGCAAAGAGAGTCTTATTTATTCTATTTTTAAAATAGAAGAGCCAGAAATTTGAACACCATATACCACATTGGACACCTGTTAGTAAAAATTGTACCTGATACATTTAGCATGAGCATTACTTTTTGTGTAGGATCCTGTAATCACTGTCCTTTCATGTTTGCCTTTTAGATATGGAAACAGTACCCGCAATTATGTGATAAGAGTAGGAGATTATCACACACTTGTCCCAGAGGAATACGAAGAGGATTTGGGAATCCAGCAGATCATTATCCATAAAGACTATAGACCAGATGGAAGTGATTATGATATTGCTTTAATAAGACTAGATGGAGCTTCGGACCAGTGTGTGACATTCAGCAGCCACGTATTACCAGCCTGTCTACCTATGAGACGAGAAAGGCCACAAAAAACAGCATCAAATTGTTATATTACAGGATGGGGTGACACAGGTATTTATTTGTATTCTTTAACACACATTGGCTTATTTGATAAACACAATGGCCGTATTCTAAAGCATGTATTAGGTTCATAGAAACTCATTTGAATGTGCACGGTTTTTCTTCTAGCTCAGTAATAAAAGAAGAAGTTCACTTTTTCCACATAAGTTCCCAATGGAACTTCCTCCCTTCAGCCCCTGAAAATTATTGATAGTACCACTTCAAAGTAAATAAAAGATATATACTATTAACTCCTTATACGTACATTGTCCTCAAGCACTGCACTGAAAAAACAGCTTTGCTCTACTACAAGGCTCAACATTTCTAGTCCTGAGCTACTAGCCAGGCCTTAAGAGTTACTTACCACCAGTTACACCATACTCACCACCACATTACATATGGATCTCCAATATCCCCCTAAACACTCCATCATACTTAGACCATGCACCACATACAACCATAACCCCCCATAATCTCTCACTCACCAAGCCATAACTCTACCAAGCATGTCCTACCATCCAACTCAGCAATACCTCTGATGCCCCATACTCTACCACCCATAATAACCACATAATCCTGAACCTGTCCAAACCACCCATACATGTATATTTACACACACACATGCAGACACATGTACATACATACGGACACATGTACACACATGTACATACACATACAGACACATGTACACATGCAGACACATGTATACACACACAATGTACACAGGCACATACATACACATACATACACATGCACAAACATGTACATACACATACAGACACATGTACACACACATACAGACAGACACATGTACATACACATACAGACACACAATGTACACACACACGTGTACATACACAGAGATACATGTACATATGCATACACAGAGGCGGACTGACCATTTGGAAACTCGGGCACTGCCTGAGGGCCCGGGGTCAGTAGGGGGCCCCATGAGATGCCCCTGGTACCTTTTTCATAGGCTTTTTTTTAGTTTGGGCAAGGACACAGGGGCCCCATGATCCCCTATTGCCCGGGGGGCCCCATGAGTTGTCAGTCCACCCCTGTGCATACATACACATGTACACACACACAGACACATGTATACATACACACAATGTACACACACAGACACATGTACATTCGCATACATACAGACACATGTACATACACACAACAGACACATGTGTATACACATACACACACATGCACAAAGACACATGTACACACATATACAGACACGTATGTATATATATATATATATATATATATATATATATATACACAAACACACACAAATGTACACGCACACAGATACATGTACATACACACACATACAGACACATGTACACACAGTCACATGTGTATATACACACACATGTACAGACACATGTACATACATAAACATGTATATACACATACAGACACATGTACATACACACACACGTACGTACGTACATATATACACATACAGACACATGTACACACATACACATGTACTCACACACACAGACAGACACGTATACACACACACATGTACATACACAAACATACAGGCAGACACATGTACATACACAGACACACATGTACACACACAGGCACATGTATACACACACAGACCCGTGTACATATGTAATGGATTGTGATAGACAATCCACATTTTGTCAGATAATCAGTAAAATGACAATTTTATAGTTTTGCTTCTCTCTGCCTCTTGCTCTTTAAATCCCTTACTCTTTTAAGTAAACAATCAGATATTAGTTAACAGAACAATGATAATTAAGATGGCGCCTTCGTCCGGAGTCTCACACATACATATACATTCACATACAGACACATGTACACACATACAGACACGTATACACACACACAATGTACATACACGCACACACACACACACAGACACATGTGTATACACACACAGACACATGTACATACATGCACATACACACACATGCACACACAGACACATGTAAACACGAACACATGCATACACACAGATGCATGTACGTACACACAGACAGACACATGTACATGCACATACAGACACATGTACACACATACAGGCACATATACTGTACATACAGACACATGTATACACACACGGACACGGGTACTGTACATATACACACACATACATACAGACACATGTACATACAAAACACATACACACCACACATACAGACACATGTACACATACAGACACATGTACACATATAGACACATGTATACACCACACCCACCCACCCACACAAACATACAGACACATATGTATACACACACATACAGACACATGTACACAGCCCTACAAAAAGTTGCAGTACGTTACCTTCCCTCACAGAGCCGGGTACTGCACTCTATGGGGAGGCAGAGAGCACAGCACATACTCCGGCTTCCTTTGCTTTCACTTTTGAGCAGTCTGATGGCTCCCAGTGCGACTGACAGAGCCGACTCTGATTCACGAGCCCGCCCAGCAAGATAGCCCTGGGGGGGCACACTCACCCCCACCTCATTTCCAATCACCAAATGCAAGCAGGCAAGTGGAAATTTTGAGACCTGCTTTACTATAACAGTATGCACTCTTCTCTGTCCATGACATTTTGGAGTGTGTCTGTAGGCATTTGTGCCCATTTAGCCAAAAAAATACATTGTATACATTGCCACCTATATCCAAAGACTGCAAAAGAAAGACTGATTGTAAAACGAAAAAAGGGCCAAAGTAGCTCAATTCCCCACCCATTGTTAACATTTTTTAAATAATCACTTTGACGGGGTAGTCTTAATTTAAAATAAATAAACATTTGCATCTGTTCATGTTCTATACTAAACCCACAACACTATAATCAGTCTGTTTATGCAGTAAAGCATGCTTGTTATACTCACTGTAGAACCTAATGGGTTAATCCTCTGCAGTGTGTGAAATGGAAGTTTGATCCTGTCTTCCCTGATCCTCCCCTTTTTCTACTGTCCCCAATCCATCTGCTGATAGAACAGAGCCTTGGGGGCAAGTTGCATATGCTCAGTTTGGTATGTATTGCTAAAGAGTTTTTTTCTCGGGAGAGTGCATGTGATCAGCACAGGGCCAATTAGCACTGTCCAGACAGAGGGTCAGGGGTTATACAGCCTCATAGGACAGTTGGGGGAGAATGAAAACTCTTACTACAAGTTTTAACCAGTGCTCTGCTGGACACTGATAGAACTCACAAGACTACTCTAACTGCTAATGAGAAAATGTATTTAGCAGTTTATATTTACTAAAATAGCTGGGAGACTAGGGAGACTGGGAGACCAGATATAGTGAATGCAGGGTCATGTGTTTAGTAACACGTTAAAGTGATACTAAACACACACTGTTTAATTTACATTATCCCTTCTCTTTCTGTATATGGATGATGGCACTGTAATTATTTTACTTTATATATAATAAAAAACAAAAATCTAAGTACCTTTTTTACTAATTGATATACAGCTGTTACATGACCCAGCTCTTTCCCAGCCTGTCTGCAGGGAAACAGGGGCAGGAGGAGCTTCTAGTTCTCTGCTGCTGGTCACGTGTTCAAAATAAAAAAACAGCCTTTGCAATACAGAGTAAAAAAATAAATAATAAATTAATATAAAAAAAGCTGTTTTAAATCATCATTCAAATATATATTTGAAATTAAATCTTTATTTTTTATTTGCTGTAACGTGGTATGGGTGGATTTCTGCAAGTCACAGGCTTTGTCATGCTCCTCCAGCCTCTGTCTTAGAATAAAAGGGAGGTAAAGCCTCCATCAACCAAGATGTAATATTCCACCCTCAATGTGTTTAGCTGGTTAGTGGGCATGTAGAGGGAGGGAGGGAGTGGGTTGTTACAAGTGTGACTCTTTAGTTACATGGGCTGCTCAGATGTGATAGGGAGGAAATGCTCAGAATAGGTGCTCACTAAAAACAGAGCATGTGCAGCAGCTGCTAACACTGTTCTGCAAAATCACCAGCTGCATTGGGGACATGGACAGAACGGGGAGATAAAGAACAGCAGGATCAACCAGGTTTTTTGCAGAATACAGAAAACTAATCCCATAGTGACTGAGTGAATATGAACAGCATGTCATACAGAATTTATTGATAGTTTTTTTTATGATGTGGGCTTAGTGACATTTTAATTAAATACCCTTTAGCTGCACTGCAAGGAATCTACAGACCATAGTTTCCATGATTGTTGCCTAGTAGCTGTCACTACTACTCTCATATGAAAGATATTCCAACACCTATGACATCTTCCAAGAAATAGAGATCATAGTTATATAGGCTGTAGTTTCCCATGGTTCCATTCAGCCCCTCTTTTAAATGAAGAGCCTTACAATGTACCACATGTGGGGGCGATGTGTGTCACAGAAGTAAGCAACCCATGCCTTGGGAACAATTTCTCCAACTGAATGACTGAAATTATTGGACAAAATAAAGCCTTAATAACTACTAGTGGTTAATACAATTAAAGCATATTGTTTAAAGCCATTGTGTTATACTGATCCAAAGTATACACGCTTCCACTAATAATACTAGAAAGTCTTAAAAAAAATAATAAAAGTACAATTTAAAAAAAACAAAACAAATTTTTAGCTATAGCACATACTGTACTAAATGATATCACAATGAAGATTGTGTGGAATTGATTGATATAAGGCATTTAATAGGTATGAAATATATCAGTGGTCTCCAAACTGTGGCCTGTGGGCCAGATGCGGCCCTTTGCTGCCTTTTATCCAGCCCTCGAGGCATTATTCCTCCCCCTGCAAGAAACAGTGTGGCATAGTTTCTCCCACTGACATCAACATCCTCCTATTGACAAGAATGATGGGGAACTATTCTCCCATTGATACCAACTATGGGGCACTATTCCTTTCAGTGATACTAACGATGGGGCACTTTTCCCTCGATTGATACTAATGATGGGGCACTATTTCTCTCATTGATATTAATGATCGGGCACTATTCTCCCCCATTGACACCAATGATGGGGCGATATTTCTCCC